AAATTGAACAAGAAACAGGGCAGAAAAATGGGATAATGTGTGAAAAAATAGAATTGTGAGAAAACAGCCGATAAAGGTAAGAACTGACTGGAAAACATCTGCTTTTGCAGAAACACTTGGACAAAAAAGACAGCTTTAGGGTGTAGCAAAGCTTACATACGTTTCTGGATAATTGTTCAGGAAATGTCCAGGTACTATAATTTGTAATAACCCCAATTTGCATAAATTGGCGCCAAAGCAAGATTTCTAGGTGCCCCACCAGCCCTTAAACCCATACAATTTCACAATTAGACTTGTTACTCTGTGAGTATGAGAGTAAAAAATGTATGTAAATATAATATGTATATTATGTATTCAGTTACAGGGGGGAAAGGGTGTCGGGGGTAGGAATTTAAGAAGGCAATGCGAAAGTAAGTGTATTTAAGTATGTGCATTATCTCATATTATGCCAAACTGTCTCCTCCAAATTATTCATTTAAAAAGCCCCGCTGGGGCTGAGAGACTACGCAATCCTGTGAGGGACGAATAAATCTACATTATGTTATTCGATGCGGATATCTAATTATGTGAAGAATACAATCTAGATCTTCTCTCCTTCTGCGTTTCAGAATTCATTCGCATGATGACTTCAGAAGACAGCAATGGCCCCCAAGACCCGAGCAAAAACAACCTGTAGCCTCACACATGATTCCTTACGGATGCCAAGAGATCATGAACCTATGACGTCAGACCCTACTGTCCAGGGTTTACAAAGACATCTTACAACGTTCCTGGTCGCTTGAAATTCAAAAGAAAATACAATAAACAACAGGGGTGGATTTGAGGGGTTTTTTTCGGGGGTGGGGGAGGATTGATTTTTCTTTCTTTTTTTTTTAATTCATGTTGGGGTGTTGTTTGTTTTTAATCCAGAGTGTGAACAAAATGTATACATCATTGCTTCCTCGTATGCAGAAATCGAAGAAGCACTGACATACACCGTTTGAAGCTCTATAAATTAAGACGTAAAATTTAGACTCAGATAGTGTTGTTTTCCCGGCAGTGGATATCAGTGATCTTTATTATTTTGTTCTTGGAGTCGGTGTAGGGGTGGGGGGGGGGAGATGTAACTATTATTTGTGTGTTAAATTATACAAACCATGAACTCGTTTTAGTTGATTTTTTTCTTTGCTACTAGAATTGGCAAAAATACGAGACCTAAGAATAATTTGTAACTGTGTTGGTAAATAGATATAGTAATACGCGGGATGCACAAATATTTAATTAGTCGTGCTTGTTTGGTCGCGTAGGTTTCGGACGTCGGGCTGTGCCGCGTTAAAAAGATAACGATTCCCCTCCACTATTTCTTTAAGCAAGCAATGGGTCCAAAATAATTGTGTGCCAATGATCAGTGGTTTTAATCAAATGGAAAGCAAATAAATGACTTCATCAGACCTGTCTAATTTTCTGTTTGAGAGATCAAATTATGATCCTAGCATTCAAAGACTCCTGTAGATAATTTCAACCGGCGTCTGTGGTATAGCGGTTAGGCATTGTGTAGCCAGTCGCACGCAGGAGACCCGAGTTCGATTCCCGGGTGAGGTGAAAATTTGTTGGGATGCTGTATCCAGCTTATCCCGGGTTGGCCCTGACAGACAGGGTTGGAAGCCCATTTACATGAATGAGAAGATATGTTCAATAACGATAGCCCCTGGAAATCATTAGGGCCCGAACGAACGTTTCTAATATTCCTCTGGAATCGAAGTTATCTTGATAATCATATCCCCTTAAATCAGATTTGTCACTGGCCGAGAAACGTTCAAATGATTTAATCTTAGGTGACCAAATTGTGTTATTACAAACTGGGAGATATTCGAATCTGGTCTGAAACAAAAACGTGCGGAATAAATGTTCCTAAAGTGCAGATCGAAGTTTGACAATTCGTATTTGTGCCACGTCTTTTGGTTCAGCCCGGCAGTTCTCAGGGGCTTGCATGAAAGCTGAATGGTCATTATTATTTCGACCAATCCGTAGGTATGCACACGGCTTAGTTTTTAGTATCTCTAGTCTATGCAGAGCTAGAAGAAATCGAAAATCAGGTCCACCCTTAACATTTGTAATAACTTATTTCAAACTTCTGTGTGTTAGATGTGAACTAACTTTGAGGAAATTGCTGGGAAATTGATTTTCTTCCATGTTATGACTCATTCTCCGACCAAACGATTCTTATGAACCTTTGTTTGCGTTATACTGGGTATGTGCAGTGTTTTCTAAGCATTGACACCGCTCTGTTACAGTATTTACAAGACAAATATTTGCAAGTGTCAGATAAAGGATTTACACGTTACATTGCTATCTAAGCTTTGTATAATTATGCTGTGTGTGTTTGTGTGTTTGTCTATTTGTATGTGTGAAAGAGAGTAAGTGTATATGTGTGTGCATGTGTGTATGTGTGTGAGAGTGTGTGTGAGGGTGTGAGTGTGTGTGTGTGTGTGTGTATGTGTGTGTGTGTGTGTGTGTGTGTGTGTGTGTGTGTGTGTGTGTGTGTGTGTGTGTGCGTGTGTTGTTATTACTAGTAGTGTTTTCATCATGACTTGTACACACACACTTTAATGCGTGATTCAAGCATTTCTTTTCAAGTTGGGAAGGTTTAGTATTTCACGAAATTTTTTCCAAGTTGCAGTGTAATAAAGGGCAATATATGAAGCAAAAAGTACAGGTAATGACTTAATATTATCTTTCCTCTGAATAAATATTTATAGGAGTATTTTAGTACATAAATTTTTTCGTGAATAACGTTACGGCACCGCATTGCAATGCAGTATATTATTTTCGACTTCGGCAAAATTAGGTCACACAGCTCCTATTAACCAAGATGGAGATACTACGGATACCACCAAGCAACTCTATACATTTTCAGTGTGTGGACTGTACAAATTAACTTGCTCATTGCGAGCTTTTTTTCTGAATTTTAATATTTATTTGGTAAATAGTTGATGTACTTGATCTATTTGTACAACAATGTTGTCTACATTGATCTCTTCTTACGTCCAATAATAACGCGCATGACAATGGTTAGTACAGTTTGTTTTTTCTTCAATTCTTCTAAACTTTCATTCATATCGCATTACTATTTCGCCGTTCCTATCGCATTACAAATTATTTTAAAAGCTTTATACTTTCATTACCTTCATATCGCCAAGAAGAATTATTTAATTATTCAGATAATCATCTATTTATCCCCGACAAACTAAATGCATACAAAAATTTGGTTTGGCAAAAGGTTCTCTTTTCGAGGGTACGGGGCTGGGGGGTCATTATTATAATAGTTTGTTATGCCCAGGCGAGCAATCTCTCATTGCTCAAGGTGTGGTCTCAAGACAAGGGATGCAATTCTGGAAATCCATAGTAAAGTAGAGTTGTCTCCTTTAACTTTGTATCCTATTTGTTGTTGTTTTTTGTATCTACCAAATTAATAACACATTATTATTACAACCACGGGTTTTTGTTCTGTTTCATAGTTTTATTCTCCTTTTTTTCAAAAGGCTTTCGATTTCAATTTCCTGTCTTATTGGACTCATTCGTATTTATATTTTTGAGGCACCGTGATTAAATTTTTTTTTAAAGAAAACATCATACCAAGACAACATCCTAAGAAACCATATTAAGAGGAGAAAGACTACTCTCTACCTTAGATTGCAAAGTTCTATCTGACATTTCAGGCCGTTTTGAGTTAATAAGACCATGAGGTTCAAAACCAAAATAATCTATCTGCTTCATCAAAATCGTAAGATTATTCGGAGTCGTTATCAAGATGTTATTATTCAAGGAATATACATTCGGAAAAGCTTGACATGTTGTGAAACTCAGAATTTTTCTCTTCAAATTTCTAAGAATGTAAAAACTAGGCACTGAGCAGATAGAACTTTGTGATTTCAAGGTAGCGTAGGCCTAATGTGCACGGCTTAACAGATTGAGAACAATACCTATTGGCTGGGGTTTTTTGTTTCTGTGTTTTATGCTCGAAGTATTGAAGAGATGTAACGGTTTCTATAATACATGTGTGTATATCTATCGATATGCATGTCTGCACATTCAGCTCATAAACAATTGGCTTACCTTTCTGCCGATTGATGTATCTATCTTTCCATCTTTGTTCATAAATCGATCGATCGACTGATTTATGTATGTGTGTATTAAGTGTGTGTGTGTGCGTGTGTGTGTGTGTGTGAGAGTGCCGTGTGTGTGTGTGTGTGTGTGTGTGTGTGTGTGTGTGTGTGTGTGTGTGTGTGTGTGTGCGTGTGCGTGTGCGTGTCCTCGACGTGGCTGGGTCATTGTATGTATGCCTGTGTGTAAGCGTGTGTGCATGGGTGCTTGGCTAGATGCGTGAGTCCATCAGTTGGGAAATGTGTTTGCAAACAGTCTGTTTATTGATGGTGTGGTTCTGATAAAACGATAAAATCCTTCTGTTTTATTTGTCGGAAATTCGGTTTTCCCTCTATTATACAAATTTCTAGGCAGATCATTCGCTATACTATAGTCTAAATCAGCCGTATGCACTGCTCACAGCCGAACGCTCCGTAACCCGGACTCTAGCCTGGAGATCATCAGGAGAGAATGAGTCGCTGTTTCGGGCTCTTCCTCTCTACAGCTTTTCTGACACGCAATAATGTTTAAAGACCCAAATCCTGACAATGATGGTTTGATGGAACAAAATTGTTAATTGTATTCGCGATGTTTGTACGTGTAATGGCCTTAGATATTATGTTACGCCTTTTCTTGTCGACGGCGTTGTTCCGTGTGTCCGACTTCTGCTGCTGTTTCTCTTTGACATTGCGTGGTCTTTGTTTGAAAAGCTGTTAACGTTTCTAAAGTCTGTTTCTTTGCTATCGTTATTTGGTGCTGTCATAAATATCATTTTTGTTTTCGTTTCCGTGGTAGGAATATGTCCATTTACAAAGTTGTGTCTTGGTTTAATCTGGAGCTTCAGTTTAAAAATACATACCGTTTTTCAATATGGTGCACTGAAGTTTGCGGGTTCTCATTAATATTTCGCTTTAGTATATAGTTGTTTGAGTCTTTTAAAAAGTCAATAATCCTATGTTAACTCTTTTGTTTTTGATGCTGTTCCGTTTTTGTTGGTACATTCTATGAGGTGGTCCTGATGGATGTCTAGAAGTACTGTTCCTTGAAGGAAATAGACCACACAGTTTAGCCAAAAGTCAACCAATCTGTCACTAAGGAATTTGAGGAAACTCTCAGGACAGTAGTACTGTTTTATACCACAAGTGCTTTGACATAGATTCCGTTTTGAGGGGGGGGTCAGTTAATATTTCTTTTCGCTTATCGTGTCAGTTATTGTTGTAGTCTTTTAAGAATTATATTACTTTGCTGAGCACGGCCTGTCTTAAACTATGAAGAGGATCGAGAACAGCTTGTAACAAACTTGTGATTCTAATCTCCTATTTGTATTTTGGTGGAGGTGCACATGCCTCCCCGCCCTCTACGATTGATAACATTTTAAAAATGAACGTTAAAATAAGATATTCAGTCGGTTTTGTTATATTGCCATGTTGAAAGTGAACTTAACCCAATTCCATACCAGCAAAACTATGTTTTATTTTATTTGCATTAAGCTGTCGATATTAAAACCATTCCTCAACGCCGGTGGTTTGAGGGCGCCACTGATAGGTCCTACTTCTTTACTTTCCCTCTGTTGTTCCTGTCTGTCTGTTTTACTTTTTGGCAGCACTAAATGACCATTATTGCGTCGATGTGCTTCTCTTTACTCAAACAAGTAAACCATTCCTCAAACCCTTAGAATCTCCAGGCAATCCCCATTTGACTGGTCGCCCAAGTTTTGGCACTTCCAGTGTGCATTATCATCAATGTTCAAATTGTGCAAAGTAAGCCTTTGTATGCTTCAGGTCTTTAGAATAGCAGCGTTGTGTTTATTCCTTTGGCGTGACCTTCCTCTATTCTATTGTGTTCTTTCATGTCCAAAGCTGATATTATTTATTTAATGTGCTCGTTTGTCTTATCTTCCTCGCATACTGTTGGTAAATCTATTTCCAATTACAAATTACACACTGCTTTTTAAAACCTGCATCGGTATTCCCATTGTTGTACATTGATCTTTCTCTGGTTTCTGTTTCTGTTATAATTTTTCTTGAATCTCTGATTGATGAAGCATTACCGTATACTCAGAATCTCAAAGACCCTTTATACGTGAAGTATATTTATAATCTCAACTATTTTACAACTACGAATCCTAGTAGTTGCTTACAGGTTTTTTTTTAATGATATTGTCACCTTTATATACATACATGATAATATTATGTGGCTTTACATTGCGTGATATATTTTTCTCCTTTTCCCAAATCATTTTGTAGCTCATTATGCCTTTCATATTACTGTTTCCACATAAAAACAGTATAGTGTGCAATTTTTTTAAACGTTGCCTCTTTTTGACAATTATAACAGTGCGGTTTCATGTTTGTTTCGTAGCTTTTGTGCCGCTTTTAACATGGTTTTAAATTTTTAACATTTCTTCGCAAATGCACCAAGAATTTCGGGTCCGTTCAGAAACCACGACATGGTTTGCAATTTGGACCCAACATGTTCCCCTCAACCTAGCCCAGTGTGACTGGCTTACTGTGACCGTTCTTCGTGCCTCCGTCTTTTTATCTCCACCCCCTTAGCAACAAAAAACACAGAACTAGATGCCTGAAACCAAGCCCTTTTCCCAACCCTTGTCCCCTAACCTCTCACCTTCACCTTAACCCATCCCTAACCTCAACCACTTTCAACGCGGTTCAGTGAACTGACCCCTATCCTCAACGCTTTAAAGTCACCTGGTTTGTTTTGGGGTTGTTGTTGTCGGGTTGTTGTTTTTTGGGGGGGGGATTGTTTTTTTGTGCGTTTTTTAAATTTTTAATGTTATTTTTTGTGTGTGTTCGGGGTTGTTGGGGTTTGTTTTTTTGTGGGGTTTTTTAAGGGAGGGGGGGGGGCGTTAAAAGGGTATTTCTCCCCCCCCCCTCTTTCTCTCTCTCTCTCTCTCTCTCTCTCTCTCTCTCTCTCTCTCTCTCTCTCTCTCTCTCTCTATTTCTCTCTCTGCCTTTCTCACCTTTGTGTTGTATAAAGGTCGCAAAAAGGACTCAACTCCTCTCTCTGTTCAGGACCATCTTCTCTACTTTCAGCCGACCTTGCCCCATCTATCTGAAGTCTGCCTCCAGATCTCATTCTTTAGTAGATCCCCGACTTCCTTTCTTCAATTTCCCTTGGTGATTCCATCTCAGGCTTCACCTTGTCACACTGTGGGTTGGCTTTCTAATAGTGTGTTCAATCCACAGCCGTCTTCATTTTCTTGACCTCA